CGTCCTGAACCTACTGCCCATCAGCTTCATTGAATGTCCTCAAATTCGAGTATTTTGGAGGAGGGAGAAAAAAATTCTCTTTGTCATCTCTCTCTGCCCCATGCATCATTTTATAAACTTCTATCATGCTCCCCTTTCGTCGTCTCTTTTCTAAACTGGAAAGTCTTGGACTCTTCAGCCTTTCCACATAGGGAAGGTGCTCCAACCCCCTGATCATCTCAGTTGCCCTCCTCTGTACTTTTTTATTTATTTAATTTGCTATGTTTTTTTTTTTAGATGCGGTGACCAGACACAGAGCACAGTGGCCAACCAGTTCCTCTGGAGGGCCCACAACAGGGCATAGGGGCCGAGGTCTTCCCCTGATCTTGCCTCCTGGCACTACGGTTGCCATCCCCTCCAGATGGGAGTGGGGTTTTTCTTGCTTTTGGGGCTCCCAAAACTGCCCACCCCAAAGAGCCCCATTACGCCAGGCCCATAACGGGGGGGGCGACACTCTAGCATTTGGGTAAAAACTCTATGGTGACCATAGAGTTTGTTTTTTTTACCCAAATGCTAGAGTGCCCCATGAACAACATACCCGGTGTAATGACATCACTTCCGGGTGATGTCTTCATGGCGTACACACCAGAAGACCCCAGGAGCCAGGCTGGAGCCCCCTGCTGGGACACAGGTAAGACCTGGCAACCCTACCTGGCACCAGTGTTCCCTCTAAGCTGAGTTAGTGTGAGCTAGCTCACAGTTTTTTAGCCTCCGGCTCACACATTTCTGTCTTGGCTCAGGAAGGGATGGCTCCAGAGCAAACTAATTTATGCAGTAGCGAAATTGCTCACTCACAACTTTAATGCCAGTAGCTCAAAAGTAGAATTTTTGCTCACAAGACTCTACGGCTTAGAGGGAACATTGCCTGGCACTGGGATTCAGAGGTTTACTGCCTCTGAACATGGAGGTTCCCCTATAGTCACCAGGGCTAGTTGATGGATCTATCTCCTGTGAATCTGTCTATAAGAAGAGCCCTGCTGGATCACACCAGTGGTCCATCTAGTCCAGCATCCTGTCGAGTTCTAGTGTTTCGAGAGAGGGAGAAAAATGTCCCTTTGTCTACTCTCTCCACCCCAGT